CATCATGGATTTGCATGCCTTGCTTCATATTATGCCCAGTATTGACATTTATTGAGAAATCATTAAAGAAAAATTCAAGCAAAGCATGATACCTCTCCAATCATAGAGCACTGTTTTTCATTTATTTACATAAATCAAGTGCAAGTAGACCTTTGCCCCTGCTAAAAAATCTCCTATCTTTTCCTCCTTTCATTTCTAACCCAAATAAGGAATCTCAGCAGATAGGAATGGATGTAAAGGAAACAATAAAACCAATTACAGTGTATCTTTACACACCATACTCAAAAATTTTTACTTTTTTTTTTTTTTTGGTATTGGAGTTTGAACTCAGGGCCTTCACCTTGAGCTACTCCACCAGCACTTCTTTTGTGATGGTTTTTTGTTTGTTTGTTTTTTGAGATAGGCTCTGCAAACTATTTGCCTGGGGTTGGCTTTGAACTGCGATCCTCTTGAGTAGCTAGGATTATAGGCGTGAGCCACCAGCCGCCAGCAAAATAAATTTTTACTCTCATTGTCTCCTCTTTCCCAGTAATAAGACTTCAGGGGTTGAAATGCAGCAGCTTACTCTAGGATTGCATTGATAAAATAGTCTTAGCCTAGAGGAGAGAGACGGATTGAATTCTAATCAATATTTGATTGCTTTGTTATTAGAAATCTCAGTCTACTAAATATTTAGGAAAGAAACAAAACACCTTTTCTTTTTGACCTTTTAGCACCTTTAACAACTTCTAACTCAAAATTTAGGTGCTCAGAACTTTACGGCAGGAACCTACAACCGCAGATCGCACTTTTCCAATTAGATTTAACTCTGATCTTTTTTGGTTCATTAGTGTGATGATTGGATTTCATGCCATTCTCTGACTTGTGCATCCCTCAAACCTTGTTATGATATTGGTACATTTCTCATCTAACATGAACTTAGAGGATACTATAGAAAGAAAAAAAAATTGAAAAATTGAACTCTGTAATGAACCTAAGTTAGTTGCACCAATTAGAGCATATAAGAAGCTGCATGGCATTTCTGACCTCGGGTTATGCTACTAGATGTCTTCTAGGCCAAACTTCATAAGAAATACTTTTTTTTGTTGGCCTTTGGTGCCAATGGGTCTCTTCTGTTATTTCAGTGCCTTGACTTTCTGCCCCAAAGTTTGGAGCATTTCACTTTGTACTTTATTTTCTGGAATGTGAAAAACTTCAGTTCAATGCTTCATTGTTAAATATTTGAATGTTTTGGCTGCTACCTTCACCTCTTGAGTGGGAAAACAGGAAAGACAGAAAACCTTGAGCTGAATCTTTGAACACTTCGTTTCTCATTCCAGTGACCTTAGAACTACTTAGTGCTTCAGGGAGAAGTCAGATTTGCAGTCAATTGAAGGCAGGGTGCAGTGTTCTGTCTTCACTCTAAAGCTGGGCCCTGGACATGGATGTTGCAGAAATGTGAAAAACCAACGAACAAAAAAATTAAAAAGCAAACATTGATCGTGAAGTTAAGCTTCATGGGTATATGTATATGGGAAAACTGAAGAGTAACAAGAAAGGGTCAGAATGAGAAAAGAGCAGAGCTTCAGAAGAGGACATACAATTTAAAATTAGATGCAGTTTTATCAATCTAACATATAAATATAAAAAATGTTCTGACAGTTCCCGCCTCCCTAACTGCATATCATTCCAGCTTAACTGAGACTACCAGTTTACCTGTCTTAAGAATAATCATACTCTGTTAACACGTTGCACAGGAATATTTGGCTGTCCACATTTCCTCATTCTTGTTGCTTTTAAAAGTCCATCCAGGATTACAGTTCAAAGCCAGTTTTGGGCAAAAACCAGAAACACCTTAAATGAAAAATAACTAAAGCCAAAAGGGCTGAGAGTGCTTGCCTAGCCCTAAGTTCACATCCCAGTACCACCACCAAAAGAAAGAAGATTAGACATCTTTGTCTTGTCCTAGTCTTAGAGGAAAGCATTCAGATTTTCACAATTGAATGTGATATCAGCCTTGGGCTTGTCATAAAGGCCTTTATGGTCTCTCTAAACCTAATCTATTAAAAGATTTTATCATGAAAACATGTTGAATTTTATCATATGTTCTTTCTGTATCCCTTGAGATGGTCATATGCCTTTTGTCCTTCATTCTCTTAATGTGGCGTATCAGATTTACTGAATTGTGTATGTTGAACCATCTTTTCATGCCAAAGATAAATCCCACTTGATCATGGTGAATGATTCTTTTAGTATTGTTGAGTGAAAAAATGAGTGACTTGAATAATCAAACATAAATTTACTTGAAATGTTGGAATTTGAGTGATTTCGAGGGAAGGGGGATGCAGAAAAAATTCTGCCCTAACTGTTCACCTTCACTGATGCTTAGACCAACAATTGTCTTTTCTATATTACTTGTGCACTCTTGCTTTTCACTTAGAAGTGGAGAAGCACAAGCACATGAATAATGTGGTAGGAATTTTTACTACCAGTTTCCATGGAAATCCACCATAGAGCCCACTCTGGATTAGGTCAAACTCTTCTATCACAACTGCTCTTGTCAAAGTCTCTCTGACTTTTGTAAGTGAAAAAACTACAGATTAATTATGAGTTTAACTTTCCTGTTGATTTCAGTTAGAATTTTAAATTTTATTCTGGTCCCTTTTTTGTTTTTTATTTCGTGTGTGTATGTGTGTGTGGTATTGGAGTTAGATCTCAGGGCCTTGGCGCTTGCTAGGCAGGTGCCCTATCACTTGAGTCATGTTCCCAGTTTTTTTTTTTTCTTTTGATAATTTTTAGGTAGGGTCTCATGCTTTTGCCACAGGCCAGGCTCAGATCACTTTCCTTCTACTTCTGCCTCTTACATAGTTGGAATTATAAGCAAACACCACATGCCCATCTTGTTTTATGAGATCACATCTCACTACATTTTTACCCAGCTGACCTGGAACTGCGATCCTCTCTTCCCCTCAATTAGCTGGGATTACAGGTATGAGCCACCAGCCTTTCATATTTTGTTAATTTGTATTAGCACATTTTGAATTGAAAAACCTAAATGTAACTAGTAGCTTATTTGCATACTGTTTATAAGGACCGTGCTAATCCCTAAGTGATATAAAGCTAAATGCCATTTCATCCTTGAGGGTATGAACTCATTTCAGTCCTCATGTAGCTCTCTCCCAAGCAGAGCTTTTGGTTTTCAGACTTCTTTATTCTTCTTCCATAGTAGATAGTAAGTAGACTGAGACTAGCTCATTCAAAACTGTGGCATTTGGAAGGATGTATTGAAAGCTACTTCTGAACTCACCAAACTTTGATAAACATCTTTTCCTACATTGAATTAGCATCCCCAGTTCAGTGTGTTGCTTATACAAGATTTTCTGTTTTCTTTTGATCTTTTAGTATGAAACAGATTAATAGATGGAAGGATACATAGCTATTCTGGTATTTCATTTGAAATATTTTTTAAAGTGAAACATTGTAAGGAGCATGAGTGATTCTGTCTAAACTCCAAAATAATCAGTTTTATGTTAATTACCTGTTTTCTCTTTGTCTTATTTGAGATAATTGTTAGGCTGAAATGGGTCTTTTATAGTATATTTTTTAACCTTCTAAGGATAACTGAAAGTCTGTAGCCAGAGAAATAAATGTAGACTCAGGATTTTAGCATGAGGATTTTTTCCCCCCTTTGGTGGTGGTACTAAAGTTTGAACTCAGGATCTCACGCGTGCTAGGCAGGTACTCTTCCACTTTGAGCCACTCTGCCACCCTCTTTTGCATTGGGTGTTTTGGAGATAGGGTGTTGTGAACTATTTGCCCAGGCTGGCTTCCAGCCAAGATCCTCCTGATCACTTCTTCCTGAATAGGTAAGATTTGAGGTGTGAGCCACCAGCACCCAGCAGCATGAGAATTTTTAAACTTTATCCATGATTCTCTCTTGCCAGTTTTAAATTAGTGTAACTTTCTTCCTTGTTTTGCTTATATTTTACCTTTGAGTGTTTCTTCATGTAAAAACATATTAAGGGAGTTGAGGAGAGGGCTAATGGCTGCTTTGAAATAGTTTTGCATCATTTTGGTTAGCTCTCTACCCCCTTATGGTATAACGTACATCATTATAGTGCTCATACTTAAGGCTACAGAAAGACATTCACTCTGGCAGGTGTTAGGCTAAATACTTTGTGTGCATTTTGTCATTGAGTTGTCATAGTCACCTTTGATAAATCAACGTAATTATCCATCTTGTTTGACAGATGAGGAAAAGAAGGCTTAGAAAGGTTAGAATCTATTTAACTAGTGAGATGAGCTTAGATTTGTCTCATTTGGGATCCCATACCCTTCATCTCTGCCATGGTGCCCCTTAGTAATCCAGGACAACTTTATCAGTGAAGCTGTGAACATGCTTCTTGGAGTTGCCTCGTTTTTCTCTTTCTCTAATTTTGAAATCGTTTTCTCATGTTCATATTCTTTAGGTGGAAAGATGCAAAAAACCCTTATACCTGGTTAGCCTTGTATGAATCCATCTCAGTATAAGTGGACATCATTTGCACCTCTTATCATTGTTCTTGGTCATGCCGTTACAAGCAAGACTCTTCATTAATTGGATTCTTCCCTGTTTGCAAGTGCTCCAAGTTTTGCTTCATTGTATTCTCTGTATTTCTAATCCTATAATACCTGAAATGTGTAAGAGTGAAGGTTTTTTAGTATACATTCTGCCTCTCTAATATAACAAATTTATGTAACTATAAAACTCAGCTACTTAACTAAAAAATCTTTAGTATCATATCATTGTATGGCATTTTTTACATGCTTTATATTTAGTTTTCTGGGTACAAATTTCGTAACTTTTACAATTTGAGACTAAAGAAAATTCCCAACAAATAATAAAGTAAGCATGTTGCACCTGCTAATTGGTTTTGATAAGCTTATAGTTTTGATAAGAAAAAATATTTTATACTACTTTTCCTTGACATTCTTAACTAGGTTTTATTTGTACTGAAGTGTTTTCCTCTTTGTGTTCAAAGGGCAGCCATTCTACAAAAGTGGAAGCTGTGGTCAGAACTCTGATGAAAATACAGCTTAGAGATCCAGGGGCCAAAGCACTTGTTTTCTCAACGGTATAAATGCAATTTTTTATCCTCAGTAGTAACCCTGACTTGTTTTCTATCTCTAATCAGTTTATATCTAAGAAGTAATTTGTAATGCTTACCATTATATGGTTAAGATTTAGAATTACTGTTAGATTTTTTTCCATATCTTTTTTTTTTAATTGTTGTGCTGGGTAGGGGTACATTGTAGCATTTACAAATGTTCTAACAATATATCAAATATATCAGACTTGAATTCACCCCCTCCACTTCTCTCTTTTGTTCCCCCTTCCCCCAACCCTAGAATAGTTTGATGCTTCATAAGACAATTATTTTATACTAATTTCATTGAGAGATTTTCTTGCTTTAATATTTTAAAAATTGGACTCTAACCTTGAAAGTCTCTTTACAAACAAATTTGATTAAGTAAAAGAAAATCTCCTAAATAAAGTATTTCAAACTCAAAACTTTAGGAAGAAAAGTAACTGTATCCTTTAAACAATCTATTATTTATCTTAATTTATTTTTCAAACATGCTCATGTTTTTTACCCTGTCAGCATTTGATGGAAAAAAATAAATAAAAATTACTGTTTCACAGGAGAGCTAAATAATATTGATGGTACTACATCTGAAGGTTTTGTTTTTGTTTTTATTTCCTTAACTCTGAGGTATAAAACTTACTATGATTTAGTCTCTTCAGATCCTCTTTGGACAAAAGCTATGTGTAAATACTGATTTTCTTATGTTTTGTGTGTTCTAGTGGCAGGATGTATTAGATATTATTACAAAAGCCCTCACTGACAACAACATGGAATTTGCACAAATTGGTCGTGTTAAGACATTTCAGGTATGTCAAGATTTTACTCCTATTCAGTTGTAAACCGAAACTGATATTAACTGGCTTATTTACATTTATTGTCCTGTGTCATTAGTCCCATAGCAGGATTTGAGCTCTTTATTAAATACAGAATTAGCATTTTAAAGCAAAGTAGAGAAACTAGATATTTTTGGTCTATTTGATTATACTCCTAAAAATACTATCCTTGTTTTTAAGATCTTCTTACTTGAGATACATTTCTTTAAAGTAGAAAAAGATTGTCTATGATGTACCTTTAGAATGGGGGCTCTATATACAGACTTTGTATTAGGCAAAGCAACATATAGTCAAAGTTTCCTTTACACCACACTTTACTCAGCACAGTGACCCACATCCCTTAAGACTCACACAAAGACTAAATGAGAATTTAGCAGTGTCTTGTCTCTTATCTCACATTAATTCTGGCACATTTTTCCTCTCTCTCCATCTTTTTCATCTAAGCTTATGTAGTTTTTCATACATTACATGCATCTGTTTTGTGATTCCAGTATATGTTGTAAAATGAGAGCTTATGTGATACTTTCCCTCACAATTAAAGACAAGCAACAAGTTTCCATTTTCTAAAATTGATAATCTTATGCTTAATTTTCTTAGTTGTTACATGTCACAGTGACTTAATTGATAGCACTGATGTCTTTAACATAAACTAGAACATACTGCTCTTACTTTAACTGATTCAGCTAAAATTAAAATGCACCTTTCTTTTTCAGGAGAACCTCTCGGCATTTAAACATGACCCCCAAATCAATATCTTGCTGCTGCCCCTGCACACCGGCTCTAACGGGTTAACTCTCATTGAAGCAACTCACGTGCTCCTGGTGGAGCCCATGCTGAACCCTGCTCATGAGCTGCAGGCCATTGGGAGGGTGCACCGAATTGGACAGACAAAGTAAGGACTCAGGTTAACACCAGTCACTTTGCCTCGGGTTGTAGAAACCACATCAGCATTTAAATTCTTCGTTTATGTTCATCATAGCCTATTTGTTTTGTCTTGCTTTTTAATAGTAGAGATATTTTATTGGTACAAAGGTAGGAAGACCTTCAGTTTTGTTTCACTTAGATAATCAATGTTGTCATCAAGATTCACTTTTGTTTGATTCCTTTATGATTTTTGCAACAGTAATGATAGCTTCACATAAAAACTGGCTCCCTCATATTAATAATATAGCTGTTACAATCTGATCTGTATGTTTCCTTTTCCAAGGCAAAAGGGATCTTCTTTTTCAGTAAATATGTTAGAAATACTTTTCTCATTAAATGATATCTTTATGTCTTAATAACTAAGTTTAGTAAAATACTTATTCTTATCAAACGTTCATGGCTCTTAGGCTCAAGATTATATTCCTAGAGCAAAAACTGCGGCCTTTTGGTGTAAACTTGTCTGAAAGCATGTTACCAAGGGCTGTCATGAGCCAGTGTCTTCCACGTTTCCTGAGGAATACATAGGCAGTAGGGGTGAAAGTGATGTCAGCAAGACAATCACATTGTTCCCCACAGCCGGCTGAGATGTGCGTTTTCTGTCGTTTGCCACTGGCCCTGCTGTAACAGAGCTTCTCATTTCGTTTGCCTCTTAGTTTCCACAGCACATATTTGACAATTGAAGATCAAATCTGACAGAGAGACCACAATGCACAGTTGCTTTACCTTCTTATTCCCCAGTCTTTCTTCTGACTTAAAAAGGAAGCTTTGTAGAATGTGAAATAGAAACCAAAGAGAAAAGAAAAATTTCCTCAGACCCAAAAGTTGAAGTCAGTCCTTAGACCTGCTCTCTACCCTGACTGTGATCCAGCTGGAACAGTCTGACAAATCCTAGAAACTTCACCAATGTTTCCAGTAGTCTAAAATCTAGTAAGATTTGAAAGTAAAACCTTTTACTTTTATCTTTGCTTAAAAAAAAAAGTTTTTATGCTTGTGATAGTTATACAGGGGTTTTGTTGTGACATCTCCAAATATGCATGTAATGTACCCCTTCTCCATTATTCTCTCCCCCACCTGTTCTTCTTAAAATGACTTCAACAGTTTCAGAGTTCCATATTCATACATTGTAGAAAATACATCAACTATATTCACTCTCCTTTATATTCTTCTTTTACCCTCCCCTCTGCATTAGTACCCTTCTGTTAACATGACTTGTTTTATATTCCTGCCCTTCATTTTAATTATAGGTTGAATATTCCTTATCTGAAAGGTTTGGGACAAAAAATGTCTTCAGATTAGGGACTGTTTTTCAGATTTTGGAATATTTGCATACGTGTAATGAAATATCTTGAGAATGAAACCCAAGCCTAAACCTGAAATTCATTTATGCTTCACCTCGTACATGTAGCTGAAGGTAATTTTATACATTATATTTAGTGCACCTGGGTTTTGGTGTAACCCATCCATTTCCATAAAAGTGGAAATTTCATTTGTAACATCATGTCTGTGTTCAAAAAGTTTTGACTTTTTGGATTAGGGATGCTCAACCTGTGCTTCCTTTTTTAAATATTTAAGCATTACTGTATGACTAAAAGGCATGAAATTTCCAATTGTCCCTCTTCCAAGCAGCAGCAGTAGCTGCAAAGTTGAAGGCATCCACGATGACTTAGGGAATTGATTTTTGATTGTCTGACATAGCATAGTTCATACATTTCATATGTGACTGATAGCACCTGTCTCCTTTTGAAATTCTTACCCTAAAGAAAGACATCGCCCTAGGTCAGCTCTGAGAGACAATTAAATTTGGTTCAAGACCTGAAACAAACCTAATAAGGGAATATTATCTTGCATGTACGACCTTTTTTGCAAATATCAGAATGAATGACTTTGATATAGCCTCATGGATATTAGATGCCTTGAATGTTTGAAAAACACACACAATTGGGCATGATGGCTCAAACCTGTAATCTCAGCCACTTGGAAGGTAGAAATAGGAGGACCACAGTTTGAGCCAGCCAAGAGGAAAAAGTTAGCAAGATCATATCTCAAAGAACAAGCCATATGTAATGGTGCACACCTGGAATTCCAGCTACACAGGAGACTTAGGTAGGAGTATCACACTTCAAAGCCAGCCCAGGCTAAGCACAAGATAAGCACAAGACCTCATCTGCACAATAACTAAAGTAAAAAGGGCTGGAAGTGTGGCCCAAGTGGTAGAGTGCTTACCTAGCAAGTACAAGGCCCTGAGTTCAAAACCCCAGTACTGCCAAAAACAGAAACACATGCATACATATTAAGCACTCATTAATATTGAGCATCTAAAACATGTCAGGCGTTATGCTAAATACTGAAAATTCAAATTAAGTAAGACATAGTCTCTTCCCCATATCGGAACATATATAGGTTTGCTGTGTGGTACAGGAAACGGATGATTTAAAGTTAAATGAACAAAAGAAGCCAGTGACCTTTTGTGCCCTAGAGAGTCAAGGAAGACCTCATTAGATTGAATCTTGAAGGAATAATTATTTCAAAGTTCAGCTAGAAACAGGTTATCAGTCAGCCAAAGAGAGTTGCATGTGATATGTCAAAAACCCAGAGATGGTAAACAACATGAGATTTCTAGAGCCTGTAAGGAATTTGGAGTTGTTGGAGTCGAAAATATGAAAAGGTGACAGAAGGTAAGCTCTTCTATGTCAGGCTCAGAAATACTGAGTGCTGTGTAGCAATAGGTGGGAGACCAAATAAAGGGTTGTCATTTTAAGTCGAAAAAAGACAAGCCCTTATCAAAGCATGACAGTATAACATAACTGTAATACATGCAAGCTTGCTCTAAAGTACCACCAAGTATCATTTAAAGTGCAGTTGTGTCTTAGATTTTCTTCTTGTTGTTCACTGTATGGTGTACTTTTAAACATTGACTTCTTGTCCTATTAGTGTTTTCCTGAAACATGGACTGTGCTCATTTCAGATTTAAAATCACAATTCTGAAAAGGCTATTCAGCACTGCCCAATTGTCTTATTCTGATTACCTAGTAAGTAGATTTTTCTTCTTCTTGAAGGGACTAGCTTATGTCTTCTGTATCTTCTAACTCCCCACTGATGATGATCTTGCCTCATACAGGGAAAACAGGTATAATCATCTTCCCATCAACTTGAACAGTCTCCCTACATCAGCCCCCATAAACTTCACTCAGAAGATTTTATTGAGCACCTTCTGTGTGCCAGGCACTGTTCTCCACACCTGACATGCCTTCATGGAATTTATATTCTAATTGTAAGGGGGTTGGCAGGGAGAAGGCTGCCAAGTAATAAATATGAGATATACTATGTTAGGAGCTGGAAAAGTAGAGCACAGTGAGGAAGATTAAGAGTGCAGGAGGTTGGGCTGCAAGGCCTTATTGAGAAGCTGACATCTTAGCAAAGACTTGAAAGAGATGGAAAAGATGCAGATACCTGGGACAGACATTTAAGCAGAAGCCAGATGCTAGTGGCTCACTCCTATAATCCTAGCTACTTAGGAGGCAGAGATCAGGAAGACTGTAGTTCAAAACCAGCCTGGGTTAATAGTACAGGAGACCCTATCTTGAAAAAACCCATCACAGAAGTAGGGCTGGTAGACTGGCTCAAGGTGTAGGCCCTGAGTTCAAAACCCAGAACCGAAAAAAAAAAAGATGTTCAAGCAAACAGTACACTCACTACAAAGGCAATAAATTAGGAGTGTTTCTGGTATGGGTGAGAAATAGCAAGGAGCCAGACTTGCTAGAGTAAGCCATGAGGAGAAAGTAAGAAGTGAAGTCAAGTGCTTGCGGGCAGGGGATTACATTGGGCCCAGGAGGCCACTGTGAGGACATTGTTTTGCCCTGTGTGAGTTTGGGAACCATTGGAAGGCTGTGAGCAGAGAAAACGTGTGATCTAATGTAGACTCTGAGAGAATCTGAGTGCTGTGTTTGAGCCAGCAGTGAAGAGGAAAAGAGAGAGCAGTGGAGACCATTGGAGTCATCCTGGTGAGAGTGGAAGGTGACCTATGGTGGCAGCAATGTGTCTAGTGAGGAGTGGTCAGGTTCTGGATATATTTGGAAGGTTAGAATGGAAAGCACTTGTGGACACACTGGAGATTGTGTGTGAGAGAGCCAATGATAACACATGGGCTTTGGGCTAATCAGCTAGAAGATGAAAAGCCTTTAGCTGAGCTGAGAAAGTCTATGAGGAAGAGCAGGTTTGGTGTTCCTCAGAATCTACTTTAGATATAAGTTTGAGACGTTTATTAATATACAAGTGGAGATTTCCATTCTCTTTGGGAGAGAAGTCTGGGCTAGAAGTACACATTTGGAAGTCAACCGCAACAGTGGCATTTTTAAGTCATAAGTCTAAATGGGATTACCTAGAGAAGAGGACCAATAATTGAACTCCAGGCACACCAAAGTTAGAAGACTCTGGGAGAAAGGAAGTGACCAGCAGAGGTGACAGGTAAAGATCAAACCAAGGAAGAAAACATACTTAATCAACTGTGCCCTAGGTTGCAAAATGTCAAGATAGCGAATCTTATTTTGGGGAATCAATCATTAGTTTTAGCAGTAAAAAGATCAAAATCAGTTTCAGTCGAGTAGTATAGATGACTGCATATAAGAAAGAATAGGGTTTTGTGTTTTTTAACTTAATATTTATATAACAAAGACAGATTAGGTGAGTTGTTCATGGTCACACAGCTAGGAATAGCATCATGTGTAGGCACAGCCCTTCTATCTCTCAGTCCCTGCAGTAACTGCAGCTCACTGCTGCTGCTTTGTAGCTCACAGGACTAGGATGTGGAGGGATTTTACTGCAGAGAAGAGCAGAAAAAAGGAAGAGAATGAAATCAAAGGGTATTTTTTTTTCTTTCAAATGGAAGAAATAACTCATGAATGATTCATTGGAAACAAAATTAGGAAATGAGAGAAAGGGGAGAAGGACCTAGCACACAAATATGAAGATTGGTTTTCAGTAGGAGAATAGAGAGTTCATCTCTACTGATAGGATGGAGAACACAGGGTATGTCTTTGCTTTCATAACAGTGGGACAAGTACCCCTTTTCTTTTAAAACCCAGACATTCCATTTAGCCATAGATCCCCTTCCTTCTCATATTCGCAAGGATTTTCCTCTTGGAATATATCATAAATATGTCCTACTATTGTCCATCTTTAAAAATAAAAAAAGACTCTATTCTTCTACCTCCTTATAGCCCATTCTCGACCTTTTTTTGCTTTTTTTTTTTTTTCCCTACTATACCACTGAAATGAGGCTCGTAATGTTATTGATGACCTACTTCTTGCCAGTGCTGTAGATGTCCTTTTTCTCTGACAGCATGTCCTACAGGAGTTCTTCCAGTGGTATTTACAAACTGGGCACCATGGCTGAGGGCTATCATGCCTGCTATTTGGGAGGTAGAGATTAGGAGGATTTCAGTTCAAAGCCAGCCCAGGTAAAAATTTAGTGAAACTTTATCTCAACAGATAAGCCTGGAGTGGTGATATATGCCTGTCGTCCCATCTACATGAAAGGCCTTAGGTAGGTGGATAATGATCCAGGCTGGCCCTGGGCAAAAACACAAGACCCCATCTAAAAAATAACTTTAAAAAAACAAAAAGGGCTGGAGGAATGGCTCAAGTGACAGAATGAATGCTTTCCTAGCAATGCAAGACCCTGAATTCAAATTCCAGTACTGTATATGTGTGGATAGATAGATAGATTACAGATGGATGACTCTTAACCCAAAAATGCCTTTTATCTCCTATCTCAACTTCATATGTCCAGTTCTATGTATCTGTGAACTCTACATCTGCTCCAGGATATCTGTCTGATAGGTATCTCAAGTGTAAAGAGGACAAGACAAAGCTGTATTCCTCCTGCAGCCCCCACCCCTCTGCCCACCCAGCCCAAGTCTTCCTCATCCTTTAAATGTGGCTCAGACAAAAAATCTAGAATGCTTCCATATTCTCATTTTACATCTCACATCCAAATTATCATTTAATTCTTGTCAACTCTACTTCTAAAAGTTATTCACATCTGCTAACTACTTGCTATCTCTACTAATGTAAACAGTCATCCTCTCTTGCTGGGATGACTACTAAACTTTACTGGCTTCACTGCCTACACTGCTCCCAATGGGATTTTTTGTTTTCTTTTAGGTTGTACTTTTAATTTTTTTCAGTGTTCTATTTTCTTTTTTACATTTCTTTTTTATTTTTATTATCATAGTATTGTTGTACTAGGGGTACATTGTGACATTTACAAAAGTGCTTACAGTGTATCTTAGTTAAATTCAGCCTCTCCGTTGTTCTTTATCCCTCCTCTCCCCCCCTTCCTGGAATGGTTTCAGCATGTCTCATTTTTCCATTTTCATATAGGAGTACATAATATTTTCACCATATTCTCCCTCCTTCACCCTTTCTTTATATCCTGCCCCCCTCCCACTTGTACCACCTCCCAGACAAAACCTGTTTTACCTTCCTATTTTCCATTTTTGAAAAAAGACAGTTTTGCTTGTTTAAGATATCTGTACAGGGATTTTCATTATGGCCTTTCCATGTATGTGTGTATTATATCCTGAATTGGTTTGTAGTCTAAATTAAATCATATGTAAACCCCTTGAGCTGTTTCTTGTAACAGCCACAGTAAAATCTAGTTCCTCGTCATATCCTGTAAGACCCTTTACGATCTGGTTCCTACCCAACTCCCAACCTCATTTCCACCTCTGATCCCCTTTGTAATATACTTTTGCATGCCAGCCTTCTGTCGGCCCCTTAAGCATTTTTGGCTTTTCCACACATGTTCTCTTCCCAGCCACTCTGTCTGTATGTGCTGTTTCTTCTGTTTGGATGTTGTTTCTGCTCTTGTGGTGCTTACTGGCCTCAGATCCGTCGCTCATGTTGCCCCTTATGTGTTTAAAATCCTCATGGCATTCTCTGTACAAGAAACTAATTTCTTTGTGTGGTTATGGTCTGTCTGTCCCGACACAGATGTGAGTTCACGGAGATGAACTAGTTGTTTCTCTTCCCTGTTCAGTTTGTCCCTCCAGGACACTGATGAGTACCTGCCACAAGTGGGCACCGACTGAGTGGTGAACACAGCATATAATATGTGAAGTTAGCTGCTACTAATCTTCTGAAAGTGACTTTAAACTTTTAATTGTTATGTATCTTCTAGGCCTACTATTGTACACAGATTTTTAATTAAAGCAACAATAGAAGAGCGAATGCAGACAATGCTGAAAACTGCTGAGAGGAGGTAGGTTCACTACAAGTAGAATGGAGAGCTTCCCTGTTTAAGTTTGAATATGTGTTTGGAATTTCTTCACTTAAATGACAAAAGTAGGAAGTAACATTTTGCCTACTTAGTTCAGTGTTTCCCAATTAAAATTTTAGACAGTCTAAATTTGACTTAATTTGTTAATAGGTTTTAATATGTAAGAGTATCTAAACTATCTGACTTTTCTTTGCTACATTGGATTACTTTTTAAGTGAAATATATCCTTATACCCTAGACCTTAGTCTGATATGTACAAAACTAAATTTGTATTGGTGCTTTGTGCCTCATTCTTATTAGTTACATGCAAATAGGAATACCTGAATTTGAAAATGTGTCTGGTGGTTGTGGTGTCAATTCCCAAGGCAGAACTGAAGCAGAGAGATGAAAACAATCTTAATTTAAAAAAGTGTAGCTTTGGAATCATTATACTTCCTAATGTTTGTGATATAATATTCCTTGAAAGTCATTTTGAAACAACCAATGCCCTTTTACCTGCTTGTGAGATTGGAAGATAACTTTTTTTTTTTTGAAGAAATGATTGCGTCCTGGAGGTAGTTTGCATAGCAAAGAAGCAGCTTGAAACCAGAAAGTTCATTCACTGGTAGTGTATAGGAAGGAAAAAAGCTAACTACCTCAAGAGCTGTTCACCTAAAACAGGAAAGAAGGCTTTTGTTCTTGTTGCCACTTGTAAGAGACCTCAGCGATTTTTATCACTGCCTAAATAAAATAGCAGAAGAGCTTTTAAACTTCTCTTTAAACAAAATAGCTTTACATGGGAGGAAGATAAATTGTTAAGTTAGAACTTTAGCAGCAGTTGTCTTCTTTTTTTTTTAATTGTTAAGAGAAAAGGCATCTTATGACAAAGCCTGAAAATTATTTATAGATGTCTTCACTAATTTTGATGAGATGTAGTAACAGTCTTATTGCCTACGTTCTTCTGGGAGTTTTCTGTGGCCCAATTACAACAACTTAGGAGCAAGTTTGTGTCTGGTCTTTTATTATCATAAATGTAATCACCGATTTCTTGGGATTTCTTTCTGATGTGCTCACTTGGAAAACCCTGCAGCCACACAAACCCATCAGGGAAACATTCAGAGGCTTCCGTCCTGACTGTGGCTGATCTGGCAGACCTGTTTACCAAAGAAACTGAAGAGCTTGAGTGAACTACTGTTGAATCATTCCGCAAACGTTAATGTATTAATTAACTGTGATGGCTGTACAGCAAAGTTGTAAATTTAAAATTCAGTAAGCACTGTTTCCAGTTGAGTGAATTTATTTCTTTTTTTGGTTATACATTGGCCTACTACTATCAATATACTGTTTTCAAAAGATCTAAAATGATTTTTAATTTTACCCTCCTAATTAAGCATTTATTTCTGTTCCAAAGAACATCTATATCTGATGAGGCAAGGGAATTAAGAGAGGTAATAATTACTTTTGATAAGATCACTTGTGAAAAGAGTTGAAATAAGAAAAAATAAACCAGTTATATATGACCTGACTTATTCAACCAATATAGATCTCATTTTTGGAAGGGCCTTCGGTGTCATTAGTTCATGATTCCCCAATATCTTGTAATCGTTTAACTAAATGATAAACTATAGAAACTCCTAGTTACTTGCATAAGTTTAAAGTGTTGCACTACACACAGTAACTTTATAGTAATACAACCCCCAACCACAAGTTGATAGGCAGTTCTTTCTTTTCCCTGCATCTTGCTACAAAAAATTAAAAACACTGGAAACTTCTCACTTATCTATTATGTGGTAAGTGGTGTCAGTGTTCAGTGGTATTTACCTTTGACATGTTTCTCTTAATTTTTTATTAAGTTTTTATATGTTTTAAAATTGGTATACCTATAAATATTGCAATTTTGTGATAGTTTTTTATCATTATCATACGATGTCTTAGAATGTGTTCTTTTCCTATGTTCTTACGTTGCTAGACATTTTAGCCACTAATATCTAAATTTATATAGTTTGTTATTTCATTTCAGTCATCTTCCCTTAAGCACTAGTATTTGATCTTTTGCACAAGAGAAGGCCATGTTCACATAAGCAGATAATTGCAAGTAATAAAAACTGAGTGTTTCTTCTTCTATGAAGAATTAATGGACTTTAAATTGCCATATAAGAAGTAACTTGTTGTATCCTATCCATTTAATGTAATACAGATGTTCTTATTTTGTTTTGTTTTCTTTGAGCCATCAGAGTTTTAAATGACCCTCAGGACTCCTTAGCTCCTACTTACGTGTCCAGAAAACTGTAATAGAAATATACCCCTGATCTCCTTTATCCAAGAGGCTCTGGTGCTTAGCTAAGGTGCATCTTCTTACTCTAGATTTATAGGTGATATAATTCAGCTGAAGAAAACACATTTTTGGTGCTTATTCTTCAGTGGAAGGAAGATATGCATTGATTCTTTTGTATGAAATTAAACATAAGTATTTTTATAGCTCTTTACATATTATAAAGAGCTTTCCTATATATTCGTATGTTTGATTTTCCCAATAGTCCTGTGAAACAGATGTAGTAAATCTCATTCCTGTTTGAAAGATAAAGAGCTAAGGTTCAGAAACTCTGAGAAACTTGCCTGTGACATATAGCAAATAAAGAGTGGAGCCCAGGTCCCCTGACTCCAAATTTCTTGTGCTTCCACTAAATCCTGTCAGGCTGAAATTCAGATATCATTTAACACTGAAAATTTCAGTTATTCCTAATATTTTAGGAAAACAATTTGATATGCTTCAATTTTATAAATATATATATGTAGATAGATAGCTATACTTATCTGTATTAGAGAAAAACTGCTCTTATTTATTTCTGTAAGATATCTTTAATTAAATAAGTGAAATTGAAATTGTGGAATTGTTTAATTTCTGAGCCATAGACGGTATGAATTTTTTTGTTTTATTTTTTGTTTCTCAGCAAAGGATATCAAAATGGCTAATTCTATAGAATTCCATATTTTATATACATTTTTAATTCAAATCAATTGTGACAAGTTGTTCAAAACTAATACACATCTAATCCCCACATCTGCTTGACTGCAAAGAATTTTTTTTAGTTTCTTCCTTCCATTATTTTATTTTCTTTGAAATACTACTGTGTAAGTCAGTTGTTGTTAAATGGGTGGACTACTAATGAACCACTGAGAAAACACCATTCCTTAGAATAGCCCTAACCCTTACAGCTTAAATATGTTTCCATCTGGGGAATTGTTCTGTGTTAACTCCAGAAGAGTTTATTAGGATTAAAAGGATTTATTTATATACATTGTAAACTACATATTGCCTAATTTCATAATCTGTTGTTTTAAACACAGCTTTACAATGTTCATTGAAACTTCAACTGTTCTCTTTGTATGTGATCTTAGCATAATGAGTCATGTATTTATTTTTGGGGTTGGGGGATAGCTCAGTAGTAGAATATGTGCTTAGTATGCACAAAGTCCTGGATCAGTCCCCAGCACCAAAAAGAGAAAGAATTGGTCCCTTTCCTATCATTAATAACAACAAACTAAAAATGTTAACATGATGATTCAACATGTAACAATGAAAACCCTGCAAATAATAACAGTGGTGACAAAACAACTACTTCTCAAAATATTTAGGAACTGAATTTAGTAAGATCTTTCCATGAGATAGGAAAAGTAATATCTTTTAGCTCCTCTCTAGCTTATTTGCTAGCCCTCTCAAAATTTAGTGTGCTTGAGTTTTCTTTTTATTCAACTAGAGGATAACCTTTTGAAATGCAGAAACCACTTGAGATAAATTACCAGCATCTTACTTAAACTGAGTAAAGGCATCATTCAGACTTTTTAGAATTTAGCTAAACAAAATTTTATGATAATATAATATTACATAATTTATAACTGGCATACAAGTATAAAATTGAATTGCTATTACCACCTTGCAATGCAGACAGTGCATTTGAAGCTTGCCTACTCTGATAAAGGAAATCTAATATTTCTTCGAAGTGAAAGGTTAACTTTTTGATTAAATGTTCTGCTTATGAGAATGTCTCTGCGCCTCTGTTACATTTTGAAGGCCCTGCAAATGCCCATCATGTGTGAAGGCTGAGTAGGAGCTACCTGCACGCCTTCCATGAGGAAAAAGCAAGGTAAGTAATGAGAACCCCAGAGGGAATTCAAGTCTCACAATAGGTATGTAGTGTTGCCTCTAAGTTATAGAACAGTTAGTATCACATACAGAAATTGGCCCAAGGAACTTGGCAGGAACCAAAGATGCCATCTCCGCTCTTCCCCTGCCTTCAGACTGCCTTTCAGAGGCACTAAAAACTCTTTGAAAAGCACAGGTCCTACACTATCCCTAGGATGCAATTTTATCATTATCATTGGTTCTCTCAAGACTGATTTTGTTTATTGAAACTGACTTTGTTATATTGAAACTAAATCCTTCATATTGCATCTTATGCTTCTTTTCCTGTGAAATGTAAATAAAATTTAAATAGCTTCCATTATCTATATAATGATTGTTTATACCAGGACACTTATTAAAATCAGTAACTCTTCCTCTGCCTATGAAATGGTCTTAATGGTGTTGGACTTTGTTATCTTTGTCTCTCCATTAAACCTGCTCTTAACACTCTGTATGCCTCACGAGCCTATTTTAGGGGAACAATTCTGTCTAAGGATACATTTTCCACATTCGATCTTTCCAGACTTATGGTTTGTATGACAGCATAGTTATGATCGCTGTCCTTTCTAGTACCTTCAGGAAAAAGCGTTTGTGCCCAGATTTCCTCAGAAATTTAGCTTCTTTTCACTTTATTAATTATTGATTTAGAATATCCCTCCTGAAATTAACCTGGGTTCATTTTCTTTGATGACTCTTTACCACATTGTGTCCCTAATTCTGGACTCACCTATGAACCTGCTCTCCTGGCTTCCTACAGTCAAATGAGTGCTATATCCATTTATCTTTCCAGACCATTTCTGGAAATTTCTGTTGCATGGTGAGTGCAAATCTGTGCTTTTAAAAGGAAATTTATTTTTAGTTTCTGATCATTCTCCACCAGAATGTTTATAAATGCTTCAGTATAATACTGTTAACAGATGTATTTACCTAAAACCTCCATGAGCTTTCCACTATTCAAACATCTCATTCTGATCAGAAATTCAACCCTGCACTCAAGTTCAACTTCCCAGAGGGATGATATAGTGCAAATAATGCTTTGCATAGCACTTCTGCCTTATTTGTGATGACTTAATTAATCAGTCATCAAGTTTAGACAGTGACTTATTTTAAGGGATTATTGTTTTTATCATAATCTTTCTATACAAAAGATTAGCAAGTTTGCTTAAGTGACTTTGGCCTTTTCAAGCATTGTAGCAAAGATCTTTACTGAGTAAATCACCTTTCAATTCTCTTTTTTTCCTCTCTTCCATTATTCCTTCCTTCCTTTCTTCCAATCTAATTCTCCTTTGATTTTGAAACTCCATGACTAGATATTAGAAAAAGTCACTTATCCACATTACACAAAAAGGGCTCTTATCAGACCACTGCCCAAGCATTACTAATCAAGTCAGCAGACATAGGAGGAAGAGGCCCAGAGGTGAGCCCCAAAAGGTAAGAGGTAAACTCACAAACTTGTGTATATTGGAAGCTCCCTAGAGAGAGTCCATGTTGTTTGTTAAGACTCCAGAGGATACAAGGCCCAGAAAGGACCTATTACAATCAACCAGCATCTTCCAGTGTGGACTTTAAAGTCCTAAAATTATCCTCATCAATGTTAATGAAAGCAACACACTCAGTACATTTATTAAAGAAGCAATAATAAAGAAGTCCAGTTGCCTTCAATTAGGGAACATTATAAAATGGTATTCTTTCTCTAAGTTTCTTTGCTTTATTTTGGAAAACTAATTTTTATTTAAAACTCTGCTATTATATTGCTTAGTTTTAATTTCTGACATTGTAAATGGTTGTGGATATAACCCATATAAACAAAAGTTCTTCAAGATCTTCAATAATTTTGGAACATGTAAAAGTTTCCTTAGACCCAAAAGTTTGAAAACCACTGTTAAAGCCTGCTTTTAAAACATATTCACCTTCTGATGAACAAAGCAAGGAATTGGCATAAATTGTTCTGGCCAACCTTGTAGCAAATTGCTATGTGCACGTTTTTATTGATCATAGTCATAGGCCTACTGTAGAAAGAAATCCACCACATAACAGCAGTATGGCAAGTTTGCTGAACTTAGTGTATCAAGGTCCATTTGATTTTGCACCTTTTGGTAGGGGAAAAAGCATTAAGGGTGTACATAACAGCTTTTGAAATTACACCCTTTCTCCCTATGAATATAAAATAAATAAGGATGTTCTCTGTTTGTTCTGTGTTCATAAAAATAATTGCCTCCTGTGATGGTCAGCTAAGGGTAAACTTGGCCAAGCAGTGGTTCCAATTACTCAGTCAAGCACTAGTCTCTTGCAGTGGAAGTCTCGTAAACGTAATTAAAGTCCATAATCAGCCTATTTACTTAAGGAAGCTAATCTCAGATCACCTGGGTAGGCTTGAGCCAATCAGTTGAAGGATCTAGGCAACACAAGTAGATCTTCCTAGAAGAAAAAACTCCAGTCATGGACAGCAGCTTCAGCTTACACCCTTGTGTCCCTTGATGTCACCTGTCCTTGTCACCGCCAGATTTTGGACTTGGCTAGCCAGCCCCCGCAATTGGATAAACCAATTGCTGAATAAAACCTTAGTAAG